AATTATATTTTCATATATATTTACATATATGAAAATATAATTAATGTAATATCAATACTATTAATAGCTGGCTATTAAAAAGATTAATAATCAAAAAATCATTATTATAGCAGTTCAACGTTATTCTTGAATAAAATAGATCCCAAATCATGTTCAATATAAGCAAGCGGTTACATCGGAATGTATACATATGAGTATAAAATGTTTTGAGATTATTGTTGTAAAACACATTTACAACTCGTACAATAAAAATCAACTATAAAATAAAATCGCGATAAATTTACGGAGCACAACAATTAGATATACTACATTATTATATAAATACATCAAAGGAATGGGGGGAAGGAATATATTAACCAATATATTCAACCGTAATCCACACTTAAAGCACTCAGACCCTTCTTCTTAATCGCTTCCCCTACGGCACGTTCCAAGAAATCTTCTGGCTGATCACATTCATATATTTTATCTGCATCCAGCACATTGCATCTTCCCGTTTCTATATTGCTGTAGACAGTTCCATAAAAGTCGTCGAGTTCATACATACATTTGGACGAAAAGGAACAATCTACACCTATGCATTTACAATAATGTGGCTGAAGAGCGAGCTCGGTCGATTGGACTAAGCCATGATTGCGAATCGCCATTGTCACTGCTGTGTCTTCCATGTCATTTCTTCTATACGATAAATGATATCTTGAACCAATGGAATCTTCCTCCAAAGGATCAAGTGGATGCATCATCCTATAGTAAGCCAACACCTCATTAATACTATTGTCCATGGATCCTTCTTCCTCTTGAAAAGCTTGCCATAATTTAAGCTTCTTCTCAATCTGTATTTGGTATATAATTTCATCATACTCAATATTCCCTACATTGTTAGTTGTTGTTTCCGTGTTTGCATTCGTATGTTGCTCCTATAAAACAATAATTATTTTTTCTATTTATCTATATAATTATCTGTTATATGATACAATATAAAAGTATTGATAATGAAACTAAAGTTACACAGTTTGTCAACAAATGGATACTACGCTCGTGTAAATAATTAAATAATAAAAGCAATATTGAAATAAGAAATAATAGAATATTAGGATATCGTCGTGATATCCCTGCGAATATAATTACCGTGTTCGAACGTGTCTCATCGACCTCGGACAATTGCGTGCTGCAATGTCGCTTAGTCGGAAAGAAAGTACATTCATGGCCGTCCGAATCTTCGTCGTCGCTCGCCACTACCTGTACCGCGTTACGCCAGAGTTTCTTCCGCGGGCGTTCCTTATTCATTGTGTTGTTAGAAGAGAGGGACGGTAGGAGAAGAATTTCGTCCTCGTCCATATTATTTGTGCCGCATAACTCCCCGACGACATTCGATTCCGCGACGCCATCGGTCGTCGCGGTATCTCCGTTCCCGCGAGTCTCCGCCAGCGCGATTTCTTTCCTCTCTTCAGCGAAAGTATCTTCTCAGCAAGAACGTACGTCTGTCGTCGGGGCCAGCAAAGGCATTTCAGCCGCTAAACTCCCACAGTCTTAATGGCTCGTCCAACCCGGACTGTTATTGACGATTATTTTTCAAGGGAAAAAAAAAACGTCATGAGACGGATTCGGTAGCGAGCGACGCGCGACTCTCGTCGTGATTAACTTAAAAACTGATAGTCGTGCCTGACCGGGCTTGACGTCGCGCGGAATGACGACATTCAGAAATATACGCGTCGATCCGCGAAACGAAAACGCGTCTTCTCGAGCTGTCGAGCATCATCAGCGAAAATCACTTTTGACAGCTACAAGATGGCGGTTACCGCCGCGATCGTTTGACGCGCTGACAAACCGATGTTATGGGCGAGATACGATTATCAATCCGTCAAAATAAAATACGAAAAAATTACGATTATGCGAAAGAAAGATCGATGGACGTTAGAAAGATCTTTTCTAACGCCTCTACGAGAATGGTGTTTCAACATTTTTGAGCTACCGACTACCGACGTTTTAAAATGGCGTGAACATGTGTTCACATAGATGGAAGCTGGGAGCTGGGAGACGGAGAAACAAATCTGTCCGGGACTTTTATGCGCATGCGTGAAATATGTCATTGTACACGTGACTGACATGAATAGGATTAATTTTTTTTTATTTCTTTTTCGCGCAAGGAATCTAATGGCATCCTTTATTGCTACGAAATATATACGTAACTGATATATAAAAGCGTCTGCTAGTGCTTACGTTACTGCGCATGCGCGAGATTTATGCCTCCCTCCATGCCTCCATCTCCACATTGCTCGGTGGGAATTTGACGGCTGACTTGTCAAGAGCAGCGAAATTCACTCTAACGTGGTCCTTTCTTCTCGATTAGGATTACGAATTTTTTTTTTTACTTAAATAGCTTAATTATGGCGACCTGCGGCGAATACATTCGTAGTCAGTTCCCGACGATAGACGACGACCTATATCAATACGTAGAAGGTATATACGTTTCCATAAAATAACCTAAAGAATCTCGCATGATAATAGTTTGTAACTCTATCCTTGACGTGTGTACGTAGGTATCTTGGACAGTTCCAAAGACGACTTCGAGGATGGCAACGAGGTCTACGAGGCGATCGGGCAGGTGTTGCACGAGGTAGCGGACAAATCAGAAAACGAGGTTAGGTCTGTAAATATGTTCGCATTTATCATCTTTTAATTCGTTAACGAAACTGACTGCCTGTCTAAACAGGAATCGTATAATATTTCCGTATATACATCAAGTTCTCGCGATCGCAAGAGTCATTAATCTTTTCTTTTTTGTTAGTGCAACTGGTATATAATTTAAAGCTTATCATATTTTATTTTTCATATATAGGCAAATATGCGTGAAATTATTGGAAATATTAAAAGGTAGTTCAAATGATGATGATATAGACAGGAGAAAAAACGGTGTTAATAAGGTATTAAATGCTCCGGTACATTTGGGTGCTCTGGCTGCTACTTTAGAGGCACAAGTCGAGCAGATCAAGAGTATATGGGTCACAACTAGAGATGATGCGATGGTAATATATATATACATATATGTATACATAAAATTATGTTGATATATATATTATATATATTCAATTTTTGTATTTTTAATTACTAGATTTACACAAAACTATCATTTATATATTTTAATATTGCTTATTATTAAAATAACAGAAAGTAGATGCAAAAAAATTAGAGAAGGCTGAGGCTAAACTGCAACAGAAACAGGAGAAACGAATCGTAAATGAACAGGGATCGGCATCTCGCATTAACACTACCAATCATGCGGCTGAAAGCGCGGCTAGTGCAAGCCAAATGATGAGCAAGAAGGACAGTCGAATGGAGACCAAAGGTGGAGTGAACAAAGCTCAGGACATCAGGATAGAGAATTTTGACGTTGCGTATGGTGATAGAGTATTATTACATGGTGCTGATTTAATGCTCGCGTTCGGCAGACGGTACGGTCTGATAGGTAGAAACGGACTCGGCAAAACCACCTTGCTTCGAATGATATCGAGGTACGAAGTTGAGATCACTGCACAGTTGCTTGAATAATTCGACTTTTGGATTATTAATGTGGATAAATCTCGATTGATTTAGCAAACAGTTAAGGATACCGTCGCATGTGCGTGTGTTGCACGTCGAGCAGGAGGTAGCCGGCGACGATACGTCCGCATTGGAGTCCGTCTTGGAATGCGATCAGGAGCGAAGTGCGTTACTCAGTCAGGAGACGAAATTACAGGCAGCGGTAGAGAAGGATGGCTCCAAGACGGGTGATGCGTTAGGTGAAGAGTTGGCACGGGTGTACGAAGCCATGCAGTTAGCCGAGGTCGACAAGGCACCCGCTAGAGCAAGCGCAATCCTGTCAGGACTTGGATTCACTGTGGAAAGGCAATCCTGGCCGACCAAAGCGTTTTCTGGCGGTTGGCGAATGAGGCTGGCTCTTGCGAGAGCTCTCTTCTCCAAACCAGATCTATTGTTGCTCGATGAGCCAACAAACATGCTTGATATTAAAGCAATACTCTGGTTGGAGAAGTATCTACAAACATGGCCGAAAACATTACTTGTAGTATCACACGATCGGAAATTCTTGGATACGGTAAATATATTTACGTTTCCATTTATTTAAAAAAAAAAANNNTTATATAATTAAATATTTTTTTATTATAAATATATTTATATCATTATTTATTTCTTGTGTTTCTATTTCTCCAATACAGGTCCCCACTGATATTTTGTACTTACGTGGGCAGAAAATAGAGGCGTATCGTGGTAATTACGAGCAATTCGTGAAAACGAAAGGTGAACGCGAGAGAAATCAGCAACGAGAATATGAGGCTCAACAAGCAAAAAGAGCACATGTACAGGAATTTATCGACAGGTTCCGATACAATGCCAATCGTGCGTCCAGTGTACAAAGCAAGATAAAGATGTTGGAGAAATTGTAAGTAGTGATTATTTGAACGTGCAAGCAATCTGGTTCCTTATGGAAGGGTAGATTAAAATTTACTTAACTTTATATCTTCTTTAAATCCGTCGACACAGACCTGAATTGAAGCCGATGGAGAAGGAAAGCGAAGTGACTCTCAACTTCCCAGATGTCGAGCCACTGAGTCCACCGATACTGCAACTTAACGAAGTCTCTTTTAGTTACAATGAAGGGGTTGACTTAGTGTTTAGCAATGTGAATCTTACTGCCAGTCTGCAATCGCGCATCTGTATCGTCGGGGAGAACGGTGCGGGCAAGACTACTCTCTTGAAGATCATCACGGGTGCTTTGAGTCCGACACGAGGCACGGTTCATGTGCATCGTAATCTAAAGTTTGGATACTTTAGTCAGCATCATGTCGATCAACTGGACATGCGCGTCTGTCCCGTCGAACTTTTACAAATGCATTTTCCTGGTATGTGTTTCCGGTACGAGCTTAGTTCTCTATTTATCTTAAAAACCATTAGTGATTACTATTCGCTCTACCAGGTAAGCCTATTGAGGAATACAGGCGAATGCTTGGAAGTTTTGGGATTAGTGGCAATTTGGCTTTGCAGACCATAAATTCTCTTTCGGGAGGACAAAAGTCTAGGGTGGCGTTCGCTCTAATGTGTGCAGCAATGCCTAATTTTCTGGTTCTCGACGAGCCTACGAATCATCTCGATATCGAATCGATCGAAGCATTGGGTAAAGCTCTCAACAATTGCCAAGTAAGTGCCTATTTTATTCACATATTAGCTATAATTTCTATTTTTAATTTTTTTTATTTCATATGCGTATGTGTGTGATCAATATTTTATCATTATATTTATTTTATCGTTGCAGGCTGGTGTAATATTGGTGTCGCATGATGAACGCTTAATCCAGATGGTTTGTACAGAATTGTGGGTTTGTGGAGAAGGATCCGTTAGATGCATTGAAGAAGGTTTTGATGAGTATCGCAGGATCATCGAGAGGGAGCTTGAATTATAAGAAACCAAGTTTCGTCTAATGTGATACTGTCTCGTAATCTTGCGTTGTCTCTTACACCAAGTAATATATCATTGTGAAAATTTTAGAGGAATATCGCCCTTTTAATTAAAATCAGCTTGCGACTAATACCTATTTTAATGTAATATTTACTTTTTTCCAAACACGTTTGATCGCTAGTGTCTTATTTATTTCTTAAATGCTTTTCTCTCATGAAACAGATTAAATATAGCAATCATCGATTATATACATGTACGATTTATTCGTCTACTTGACACAAATGTCTGTGTTTTCCCTTTTTGGTAATTACAGTATGTATCTTTTTTCTTAAATTTATTAACAACTGCATTATATTCATTTTAATGCATTGAGCAAACATACTATTTGACTGTAACATGCAATCTGTGAATTTAGACATTTCATACTAAATATTATTCTATTACTAAGAGAAAATAATAAAAGATATTGTTAGATAAATAATGCTTTACACATTTTACTTGAAAATATATTAATCACTTACTATTCTGCATGTAAAGATTGCATTTGTTTAATCATACAGTATACAGTAATACAATTATTGTTAAGTCAACAAATTTTGCTGTTGCAATTGTTTATTAGTATTGAAAAATAAGTTACAACTTTATATTTTGGCCTTTGTATATAATGTTTAAATAAGTAACATAAAGAAGTGACAAATCATCATACATCGATATTGATAATGTCGTAAATTAATGATTTTGGTGATATATCTGTTATTTTTTTACATAGAAGTATAAGAAAAGTATGTGATAGGGAAGGTTAAATGAATATGTTTTTAAGATGAGAGTAAATGTGCCTTTTGTTTTAATCTCTTTTAGATTTCTGTTAGGTAATAACAGGCCTAGCCTTTCTAACGATCTATATATATATATATAAATATATANNNNATATATATAAGTATAATCTATATTAAATAGATTTTCCTAAGATAAACTGTACAGAAAATATTGTCTAAAACATTTTATTGTATAACTGGGCTCGCAAATTCAAGATCTCACTTTCTCTGAAACTCTTATGCTTTGCTGATTCATTCTTTCCATGCACACTTAATTTAACATTTTATTGTGTGGCAGCATTGAGAAGTTTTTAAACAATAATCAGTGCTTAAAGCAATGATTTCTTAAGTATACACAAATGGTGTTTTCAATATGCCAAAGAAGTCGCATTATGTTGCCACTGTTTACTCCCAGATGAAGTATTTAACGAATGCAGTGTACTAGGGGTAGAAGACGATTGAAGAGGTGGAGCTGGAGCTTGTTGCTTTGCTGCTGTAATTTTTAAAGTACTATAATTATTTTCCGTTTTTCACGACAATAGAACAATACACATTAAATTTATACATTTATAGATATTCATAAAAATACAAAAAGTATAGCATGCAGTTTGATTTATATATTATATAATCAATGTGAAATGTTAGTATCATACATGCTTATAGTATAATTGCTGGAACATAATGCATAGAGAAGCAATGCCGGCAAAAATTAATGCTTTGAAAGAAATCTTGACAAACCTTAAAACATCATAAAAAAAAATAGTGTCTTGTAATACATCATGATAAATAAATTGTGTCTAATTACCAATGTGTATAAATAATATATATGCATCGTATAAGGGACTGTGCTAGAAAATTGTATTTATAACGTGCGACATATTTGTTAGGATGCGTTTAAATATGCGGCATTGTACGAAGCATTGTGTGACTAAATCTAGAACGAAAAAGCATATAACTCTTTTTATTATTATACACACACATATCAGGTGTACTATACTCTATGATAAGAATCAAAGATCAATCAATTGGTCTTACCATTCCTACTACTGTAAACTTTGACAAAGCCCTTGAACGGTTCCGGAGGCGGTAAATTACATGCGGCGTGAAACATCTCGGCGAATCGCACCTCTAGGTCAACGGAGCTCGCCGCGGCTTGACCGCCGCCGTTGCGCACCGATAGACTCCTCGTAGGTGGAGTCGGAGGTGGCGGCGGCGGCGGTGCTAGTCTTTGATGCGTGAGAGCAGGACGATGAGGAAGCGGTGGCGGCGGAGGCGGTATGCACGGCGCAGTAACCGTGACTCTCGATGGGGGCGGTGGCGCCGCCCTCATGACAGGCATGGTACTCGACGACCGTGAGGTCGGCGACGACGGCGGTTTCGTCGTGGGTACAATACTCGCCGACCGTGAGATCGGCGGCGATGGAGGTCTCGTTATCGGCGGTCTAAGAACTCGATTTATCGCCGGTCTCGCTGTGGGATGTGGTACGATAGTCTCGTTTAGACAATCCTGCGATTGGTGCAAGGAGGATGGCGTTGTCGTCATCAAAACTGGCGGCGAGCGTGGTAGTCGCATGCTTTGCGCCCTAGCCACGCTGGTCACGCTACTTGTCAGATTTAACTTCTTAGGCGGCGGCGACGGTTTCTGCAGACTAGGCGACGGCACTGGTTTAGGCACAGTGGCTGATTTCGCGAATCCTCTGGGCATAGTGTCTGAATTGCTCGTCGCGGAATCCGTAGTATTTTGTCCCTGTGCGATTAAAATTAACGACTTTACAGATATACAGATCAACAACACGATTTAGCCGATTTATAGTTTTTGTTCTACCTGACTGAACATCTGTGGTTTCTGCGCGGCTGGTGGCGGAATCGGGGGTGGACCGCGTTTCATACTATGAGAGGATCCAGGTGATGAATGAAGAAAGCTAGAGTTATGTACACTTTGTCCCTCTTTCTCGGTCATATTCCCTCTTAGTCCTGTAGGTTTCAATTTCGGCATACCACCCGCGAATAAACCTCCCAGGGACATGGGTCCACCGTTACTGCCGCTTATTGCTGCATTGGAACTATTAGTTCTACTATTACTATTCAACGACGGGCTTATCGATTCGCCTTTAACTTTCCCTGTGAAACATATTATCGCTTTATATACAATGAGACACTTTTAAAATTTGTCAAATTTAACAATTAACATATTTTATATGACTCAATCTATTCTCGAATTTTACTATTTTACTCTTTGTAAGAGATTTACCAGCAATAGCAGGTGCGCTCTTGTCCACAGTAACAGTCTTCTTCAAAGTTTTACCTGCCCTTATGGACTGTAGCAGTAAGTTCCTGTTGTCTCCCACTGGTGGGCCAGAGGCAGTGCCCTGTGGAGGCGGTGGCGGAGGTGGCACAGACATTCTTATTACCTTCCTGCAAAGTGAATGATAAAGGTGTAACACACTAACGGCGGAGAGACATCGTACAGATTATGGATTTCTCCCACAGATGGAAAATATCAAACGTTCCTCTACGACAAAACATTTCTCTACGGGATCTAATTTTTTTTTTTTCAATTCTACGGACATATTTACGATTTACGATTTTGGATCGTTCCATCGAGATGTGTCATCCGCGCGCGGGCGGGTGGGGGGGAGGAATCGCCCGTTTTCGGAGCACAGATGAGAAAATATCCAGAAGAAATAATGAAGTAGTCCCGTCAACTGGGGACCGGTGCACCCCCAGGTCGACGAGCCCCGTGACACACAACAATTCTCCCGCTAAATCCTTCCGAGGCGTTCACGCGCGAGCCTGAGGGACGGACATTTCTTCGCGCGAGAACACACCTTAATAAAGTGCCGTTTTTATCTCCACACCGCCTCCTCTATTTGTCGATAATACGCGCACGACGTGCTCTATGCGCGATTCGCGTTGCGAGCGGTTTACCGGAGACGAGCGGCGTTCGCTGCTGTATTTATGCGTCCGGTGGTTAAGATTCCGGGCCAATGACACTCATAATTATAATAAAAAAAGAAGAAAGGGGGTCGCTCTCTGGTGGCAAATTGATCCCGCTGTCTACGATCCGCGCTGTGACACGACGACGTAGATCATGGCGTCATCACATACGAGGTTGGGGGTCTCGCTCCCGTCGCGAATAGCCACGAATGGCCACGAGCTGGGGAGCTATCGTATTCGCGGATTCGATTCTCGTCAGATATCACGATCTGCGTCTCGATCTCTGGATCGTGCTAGATAGCTAGATAGTGCGAAGTGGGAGCTGGGAGCCCCCATCACTTGGCGCAGAACCTAAAGCCTGTATCAGACTACGTATTGAAAAATTGAAATTTAACCAATTAGAATAAAAGGAATTAAAATTTTTTCTTCTGATTGGTCAATGTTCAATCGTCATTTTTCAATCTCATTCGTCGAAAAGAGCAAATTATTCTTGTTTTGATTGGTCAATTAAATGCTTCTCTCTATCCCGCGGGTAGGATTTTCGAACGCACCTTCAATCTTCAAGTTGGGAAAAGGGGGTTATTCGTGAAACCTAACCTTTTCCATTTACGACATTTTAGCGAACGGTACGTATCACGCGGAAAATCCTTAATTTTCACGATGATCGTCATTAAGACGATCATTGTGCGGGAATTAATCGATTGTGGACGATTTTCTGAAATATAAAAGTGCAATATTTATGGGAACGAGCATAAGTGGAGCAACTTATTACCAAAGTGATTTAGATTGCGTCTGTTGTTTCAGTTATTAAACAGAACTCAAAATGTCCATCCGACCGGTCTACCGACCCAAGATTGTGAAGAAAAGGACAAAGAAGTTCATCAGGCATCAAAGTGATAGATATGACAAACTCAAGGTAGATATATATCTTTTATTTTGTCTTTTGTCAATCGCATCAACGTGTTTATAGAGTTTGGTTATATTGTCTGCACTACATGTGTTACATTGCATTATAATTTGATTACGTGAGAAATTTTAATTATTATTTTTCTTGCGTGCTATATATTTCACTTAGCATTAAATATTTATTTATTTTTACATATAATATTGAATAACAATTTATTTTTTATTAAGAGATATGAGATTAGTCTTCGAGATAATAGTTAACTATTAAACGGTAAAAATTGTGTAGAAATTACAACTATTCTGCATATCTTTTAGCGCAACTGGCGTAAACCAAAAGGTATCGATAACAGGGTACGTAGGCGTTTCAAGGGCCAATACTTGATGCCTAGTATTGGTTATGGTAGCAATAAGAAAACACGTCACATGCTACCGACAGGATTCCGCAAGGTCCTTGTACATAATGTGAAGGTAAATATCG